CAGTGCTCTTGTTTTTTGGTTCATGGTCTGCAGCTTATAAGTGTTTGGATGCAGTGTGCATAGGAACAAATGAATGTGTATATTTGTGTATATATGTAAAGACTAGTATATCTATTTACACAATCGACTTTTGAGTGTCATGGATTCATAAGTTAGGCACGGATCATGAGGACCATTTTAAGGACTACTGGAGGGAGAAGAGGTTTGATGAAAGGAGTTATCCCATTTCAGATATAATCACTACATTACACATAGTGCAATTCTTTATATATAGTACTGTCTATACATAATGTTATATTTGTTAGATCTAACACTTTGTTGAATTGTCTTAAATAAATATTTAATTAATTAATTCATTCATTAATTCATTCCATTAAAGAACTGTGAATAACTATTGCGCAGGGACTCTTCAACCGTGAGCTGGTTAGGGAAAAAGTGCACCATTTTGAAGTTTAACTTCTTTAAGTAAGTCTGCTTAATCTTAAAATACATTGGCATCTAAGCCATTCTATGGCCTGTGGAAATATATTGAGCATATATTGAGCACTTAAGACATTCTGTGGCCTGTGGAATATATATCTGACATCCCCCTCCGGGAGATGTTAAATATATATTCCCAATACTGAATATTACTCCAACAAAAAAGGATTAGTGTCATTTTTGTAGTTGATGCCAAATGCTTTTCCCAATGTCAGTCCTCTGCATCTACACATTGTGGTAATCTGAGTAAGCAAATGTTATCTGGCAGCCTACCTGTTAATTCTAACATAGATAGTGCTTCTGTTATTAATGAATGTGTCACAAGTTAAAGAGAAAAAAAAGGAAAGATCATAGCATCTCAAATTAGAAGACCATAAATCATGCTGAAGGGCATGTTAAGCCAGTGAGAGGTTTCGTCCCTCTCCGTGCCTTTGAACATGAAAAACAAAACTATGAAAAACAATATATAAAGGAAATATATAACAATGTATTGAGCTACATCTAAGTCCAATCTTAATGCCACTAACATAACTGGAATGTTTGATAATCTATGAAAAAATGCTGGAACAGGTGCACGTACCTTTATCAGGTAATGGTTGTTACTGGGCTGCACCTGACTAGATATGGGAATAAAAAACAAACCCATTGAGTTGCTATTCTAAGTTCAATAAGTCAGTTCTTTGATCGAGGCCCCTCTGTCAGCATGGAGGTGGTGGCAAAGCTATAAAAAAACCCCCAACAAAACAAAGCAGGAGCTGTCTCAGCTGCTGCCAGTATGCATCATCTGTTTAATCAAACTTGTGAGAGAGTATATTCCCAGGTTACTCTCACCGCATCAATGCTTTATTTGTACCTCCCTGATCATCACAACACTGGGTAGAATAAATGCAGAGATAAAATAGCCTAATGCAATTCATCTGATTCAAGAAAGGGAGATTGCAAGACGCTAACTATTAAAAAATGAATAAAACTCAAACTCCTAAATGGAAAAATATAATACTAGTTTGATGCAGAAGATTCAGAATTGACATTTTTTATTTTTAAACTGCCATTGACCATTACTGATAAGTTTATCAGAAGAAACTGGATTAGTAAAAAAGGAACTTTTTTCATTCTTCTGTTAATGAAAATATACACCAAGTCAACAAAGAATAAACACAGAGATTTATGTTTAATAAAGCTCACTGTCCTTGTCCTGTGAAAGGCTTTTATGAGTTGCCAAATACAGTTTAAAAAGACAAAGCTGGATTTTATATTGGTTTTAAAATAAGACTAAACTCCTTGTTTTCTTTAATTCCCTTTTCTAAAGGTATATTACCTAAATAATACAAACACACAGAAAACAAACACACAGAAAAACAAGGATGGTTTAATACTTTTTCCAAATATGAATTTAGGACAAAAGGCTCTCTTTCACACATGCTGTGAAATCTGGTTCTGATATCAACTTTACTCCCAACATGCTCAGATTGATTATGTATTCCAAAACTGTTGAAGCCAGTTATGTTAAGAAAAACCAACCTTAAACAGAAGGGGTTGACTCAGGTTTCAGCTTTCAAAAACCTACAACGCAGCGTTCAATCCTTCCCACTGTAATTGCAAACCCCACACCAATACAGGGGCCCAAACATCTTGCCTGTTCATTCAGGCCAACAATTCCCACAAACACCCCCCCTTGCAGGGGAATAGACAAGTATCGTGTATTGCAGGCTGACAAAGAACCCAAACGTCTCCCCATTTCTAAGGGACGGACCCGTTCTTCTGGTTGAATTTGCATGTTTTTTAAGCCAAGACAGGGCGTCGTTTAGGTCGACTCTATAAAGCCTCTAACTCAACAATAATTATGAAATTTTGAATAGAAAAAGCTTCCTGGATGGGAAGAGAAACATCTTCAAACTTGGAAACAAAGTCTAGTGGATTTTTTTTTTTTTTTACTTTTTTGGAATAACTATGACCTGGATGACTGAGAATCTTCACCAGCATATTACGTAGATATGCAGCTTCTTTAAACAATGGCTGATCGTAAAGCAGTAGGTAACTAAACATATTTAGTGAACAGATTTTTAAAATGAATTATTTTGCAGCGGCTCTGCACATTGGCGCAGTGAGTAGCACTGCTGCCTTGCAGCAAGAAGGTCCCGGACTTGATTCCCTGCCCGGGGTCTTTCTGCATGGAGTTTACATGTTCTCCCTGTGCATCAAGGGTTCTCTCCTGGTACTCCAGCTTCCTCCCACAGTGACTGTTAGGTTAAATGGCTTCTCTAATTTCTCCTTAGGTATGATTGTGTGTGTGAATGGTTGCTTCTCTTTGTTGGCCTTTGATGGACTGGTGACCTGTTCAGGGTGTACCCCACCTCTCAACCATTGACAGCTGGAGATAGACACCAGCAACCCTCATGACCCCAGCAGGGATAAGCGTGATGGAAAATGGATGAAATGGATGAATAATTTGCAGCAGTTAGGTTTCTCCTGTTTGCTTATAATACACCTATATTCTTGTCCCTGCAAAGCTTAGCATGCCAGACTGTAAGTACCTTGTACAGAACTGAACTTGTGGCTTCAGATGGTGAAAGTTTAACAAGGACGTTGATGCCAGATTATTTCTGAAATCACTGCCCTGTTTGTAATTGTCTACCAACAGATCAGGAATTAATAGGATTGCGGGCTGTGATTTTTATATAAGTGGTAAAAACACCATATGTTATTTTCTCTCAATTTGCCAACAAAAATCCCAAGGAGGGAATCCCTACCTCCCTTTATAGACTGTGACCATTCACCACAGAATAAATTTCCCCTCTAAGACGGATTACCAGCGCTGCTGGAAGCAGACCAGGTACGATTTTAGATTTTGAAATAATTTTTTCAAATGGTTTTAAATAATTGGTAATTATTCACCAGCTTATGACTTCATAATTGTAACACACAGCCCATTGTTAATCTACAATAGATAAATTGAACCATGCAAGCAGTCAATACACATCTAATGAGCCCTCAGGGACATAGAAGCTGAGAGAGCACTGAATCAATATCGATCTGAAATAGATCTTTACCTCCCTTTGGCCATCTGTAGAAATAGAGTTAGATGCTGTTAGAGTCCATATCCTTTTCTTATTGTAAAAGTCATCCTATCATCTCTTTAAGTACGGAGGTGAGGCTTTGATTATTTTTGTATTATAATGTAATATTGCCTGATAATAATGTGTATTTGCTTTGTTTTTTTTAATAAGAATACTTGTCCAGAAAGTCCCCTCATAATATACAGAAAACCTATTTTGATTATAAGATGTACTTAAAAGGATGATTATGAGAAGATGAACTAACACTATACACTATAGAATGGCACCTTACAATTGGTGTGTTGTTACAAAAAAATACAGGGTTTCTAAAAATAGAAGAATAAATCAAAGTTTTTTGCTTCCCCCTATTTGATGGGAAACAATTGTCATATATTTTGAAATGATCTTGTACAATTTATTATATATCTTGCAATATGGTGTACTTCGACTTAAAGTTGGTGATCTATCACTATATTTTTTTCACAGTAATTGTATACGATGTAATCACTTGTAGCTGTTTGGGTTGTTTTTTTTGGGTTTTTTTTAGATACTACTACACCCATAACCTAGATTTTCTATGAGTCCGAGATACATCTTTGTAAATCATAACTGCTTTTGAAAAAAGAAAGTTTGCAATACTAAAAGGAATATAGTTTAGAGTAAGCTATTTTTGTATTTGTTAACAATTAAATGCAAAAGACAAACTTAAATCTTTATCAGCAGGTCAGTTTTAAAAATCTTTCCTTGGAAATTTATTTAAAAATAATGTTCACCTGGACAACAACCTCGACTTGAGACACAACTGTAAAGCCGTCTACACAAAGCGACATAACAGGCTGTATTTCCTAAGGAAGCTCAGGTCCTTCAGTATTTACAGGAATATGCTATATATTGTCAATACCCGGTAGGTTTGTTGTGGAGAGTGTGTGATTTGTTCTGCCATCATCTGCTGAGATAACAGCATCAGAGCAAACCCCAACAAGCTGATAAAGAAGGCTCTGTTCTAGAAACCCCTCTAGAACCACTGGAGGGGATTTTACAAAGAAGAATTCTTTGTGAAATAAAATGCAGAACATTACGGACAACCTCAAACATCCCCCTCAAAAGACTGTCTAACAACAGAGTGTCTTTTTTTCAAAGGCTTCTCCAGTACCGCTGCAAGAAAGACCACAACCAAAGACATCCTCTACATAAACTGGTTAAACGAAACCTTATGATGAGTTACTAAAACATTTGATTTCCCAATGAAGTATTTTCAAATTTTTATTAAATTGAATTGGACTTAATTAAATTAAATTGGATTTTAATTAAATTGAATTGAATGAAAGTAATGAATCAGTCGACATCATGATATAAACACTCTGTGGGGAACCATATTGTTAAAGAAAAGACAAACCTTAAATAACTGTCTAAAACTGGACATTGAGGATAATGCTTAATATGACTGTAGGAAAGTCAGAATACCTCTGATACAGGGTGTGACACAAACTCTTCAAGATGCTGTGTGGTGCCATTATCTGCAGCAATTTCAATCCGACATGACCCTCCTTGTTTGCCAACAGGCAGGCTGAATCTGTAAAGAGAGAAAACAGTGAGAGAGATAGAGAGAGCAGAGTTAGTGGGAAAGGCAGATTAAAACAATATCTGAGACTCACAATAAATCCAGTAAAGCATGAAAACATTCTGATGCTGAGGGAAAAAAAGAGCAGTCACAGTAATGGAGCTGCTAATATGACCATTGAGAATATACCATAAACTGACTAGGTATACATTACATACAGTTTTATGAGGATTTTTATGCAGTAGTAGATTGGCTTGGAAGCAATGGTGCGTTTGTATCACTCCCCACCAGCTATAACCCAGGAGAGACTAAAACAGACTATGTTTTGGATTTAAATAAAGAAAGAGACACCAAAATAGTTTTCTGCTCAGCGCTGCAGTGATATTCTTTACACTGCTGTTTTCCTAAGAAAAATGTGAAATTTACATAAAGAGATACGCAGTCATTACCAAGTTCATTTACATGATAAAACTACAGTAAATGACATCCATTAAAATTCCAAATAAACAAACTTAAAAAAAAGCTACTAATAATTACAATATTCTTAAATAAATAAACTAATCAGCCTCACAGACATATTCAATCCTTGCTGGAGGAGCTGATTTTGTCACTCAGAATTAATTAATATAAAAATTAGGGCAGAAACCACAAATGCCTTATAACCCTAATGAGAAGGAAGACAATTTTATCATTTGACCTGCTGGAACTCTCAGGAGAAATGTGCAGTTGCACTAGTCATTACTGTTGTAGTCATAATGTTAAGTAGCTGGTCTACTTGTGTCACACTCCAACACTGGCAAAGTCAAGCGATTCCCTCTCCTCAATCCATCAATGGTTGCTGCTGGCTCTATACAATCAAGGCCTCTCTATATTTCCACAGGTTGCATATGGACTCCATCTTTCATATAAAGTTGATTATTATGTTGGGAAGTAATTCGCAGGAGGCACACTTATTTCCCTCTGGGATTATTAAAGTATGTCTGATTCTGATTCTACAAGTTTACTTAGCACCTCCTGCTGAAATGTTCCACAAATGATACAGAGCAGCTCAAAGGTGTTTATACCTGTACTAAAAATCCTGAGTTTTGTGACTTACAAAACTGTGGCCATTTTAAATGAATCCAAAATGTTTCCTGCTAATAAAGTGGCATATTTTGCTTACAACTGAAAAAAACAAAAAACTCCTTGGGGAGAAAGGTAGACACAGACATACAGATATCTGCATTTGAATAGTGCAATTATCAAACCAATGATTACAAATGAATTGATACGTGATTCATTGACATTCATCAAATCGATCCTTTGATGAACTTTGATTCAGTTTTATCATTCTAATTATTTCCGTACTTCTTTCAGCATGTTGAATCTTGGCCCCAAGGTATCTTGAAGATGTTCTCAAAAAACAGCCCAAACCACTACAGTACATAGCCTAGGTGATCTATTAACAAATAAGACCAGAGAAATTCGCTCCTATGGAGAAATGGGATAGACACTTTTCAAAAAAATGATAAAACAATAGGGGAAAAGGTTTATATCTAAATTTAATTTAAGCATGTATAAGAAAAAATATTTGTACTCTTCTAAACTACCGAATAGCTTTCCCAGATACAGGCTGCCAGCACCATGTATTACAATGGGAATAATGCAATTTTTCTGTAACATATTTCTGTTGCAACTCTGGTTTAAATAAGGTTTATGAGACGTAGGCCTTTTAATCCTTGCCTAAATATGGAAAATATGGAGTATATTTACAATACATACTTTATTTTGTCGTATGTAAAATAATCTAGCATTTCGTGCTACTAGATTGGATTTTCTTTTCAGTTCTGTTTCTTTTTTTAATCTACAGAAATGGAGAAACCTGATTTCTGATAATTTGACCAGACGTCTTTTTCTTTTTTTTTCATACATATGGTGTAGACCAGAGGTTTTTTAAAATGTTTATACATATGGTGTTGACCGGCTGTTTTGTTTTTTTCATACATATGTCACAAAAAAGTGAAATGGTCCAAATGAAAAACTTGGTGGAACGATTTACAAATTAGTGAACCACTGTATGTCATGCTGGTAATGTGACTCTACAACATCTACCGACTCACTCCTTGTGACTGGTTGAGTGTTGATGAGGTGAAAGTCCCAAATGTGTGCTTTAGTAGCCAGATGGAAACAATAAGGGCAATTGCCCTCCTGCTAATTTGAAACAGTCTTCCAGGACACCTCCCTGAGGCAATCCCACACACATAACCTCAGGCAGGACTAATTACAGGTGTGGAAATCACAAGAGCTCTTTTGTGCACACATATGTGCACACAAACATGCGTTAATGCACATGCAAATTTAAGGTTCAATATATGAAAAGCAACCTAATGTCCAGAGTACAAGGAGAAAAGAGCTGTTATCATCTGCAGGGTGCCTGGTCTGTTTCACGTGTCATTCTTCATTGTTAGCACAAAAGTAACTGTTTAGAAAGAGGCTTTAGAGTAGCAATTTATTTATATATAAAATAACTACAGAAAGATATGAAATATCATAGAATTATTATAAAACTGTCTGCAGCTGAAAGTGTTTGATTTAAACTTCAGCGGTTTGCACAGAGGGGATTTTTTAGTGACTACTAATAGTCCAAAAAACAGCCTCTGCCTAAGCAAACAAGATGATGTCTCCTGATGAGCTCTCGTCAGCACAGTGAATGCTCCACTCAGCTAATTTACATTGGTCAGGCTCTAAGGAAAACAAGGCTATTTAAATACATAACTATTTCAGGCTTCTTAGCTAGACAACTGAAGCTATTCCTTTTGGGTTCACATTAACATTGCAAATAGTACAAAAATTCACAATGGTGGGTGTCTCCCAAATATATGAATGAAAGAGAGGAACAGGAGGCTATTGATGCAGATATTAAATCATCTGGAACTAGGGTGTATAAGCTTTTTTCCCTGCTTGATCTCAAATAATCGACCGGAGTAATGCCCCAGCTTTAGATATACAAACAATAACATGTAAATATTTATTTTCACTCGGCAAATAGAAGCAAAATATGTCTCAATCATCATTTATGTATTTGTTCATCTGGCTAATGGTCTAATCATAAGCAATTTGTTATCTATAAAGACTTCATTTATACTCTGGGTGTGTGACTAATTTGGGGCAACTGGATAATTGTAACTTTCAGCAATATAACCTACCGAAATATTACCTAAACTGTAAAGGTACCTGGTAAGTTTATTTTAGACACTGTACCTTCGTGCAAAGGTATTTGCTAAAGCTGATTTGGCCATTTGTCTTTTTAATGAAATGCGCCTCCTTCACAGTCCCCTGCAGAAAATTAGCAATGAGGGAGGATCATCATTAAAATATTACTACTGCATAAAACATCTGAAAGTATTGGCAACAGATGGCAGTAAAACATCACTGAGCACACTGGTGCCCTTGCAACCTATTTCCCTGACTGATGTGCTATTGATGACACATTTTTAACTGCTTGTTATTCTAGAAATATCTCATATTCCTTAAAAAAACATTATATGGGACAGTACTATGTGAATTTATAATTTGTTGATAGTTCAATGGTTTAGTCAGTGGCTATTGCTTCTTAGCAGCAACTGCTTAGTGGAGTTTTATGTTTATGAGCAAATAGAGTTTCTTCCTCATATGTTATACATGAACGATGAACACAAATACCACCTGTTACCATGATTTTAGTTGAAGCTGAACAGATTGAACAGTTGCATCAAAAAATAAAATAAAAAAGCCCCCATATGGTTAATATTCATGATTTCTCCATTCACCATAGTATCTACAACACCAAGAGAGAAAAATTTATTAGCTGTGTTTGAAAAGGTTTCACCACACCACATTTCTAGTCTGGCTATGGTGCAGTGGCTTTCTCACATGCAGCACTGCAGCATTTGCTGCATAATTTGTGCTGTGACCAGCAAGCCTCAATTAATTTGGGCAGCCTGTGTTTTGTCATCATATCTCTGGCGATACGATTAGATTGAAGAAAGCAAAGCTCCTGGCATTGTTGGGTTTCACAATGCAAAACTTCAAATGAGCAGGCATGGCTGCCGTCTAACTCCCCAGTGAACCTTTTAAGAGGAGGTCTTGTCAATAAAACACTGAATACAGTGGAACTAAGAAACTTACTCCGATTTGGCATAATGCTGAGAATGAAAAATATTTAATATTAAGATTTAACTTTCAAAGTTCAGATACTATAGGACATTTAGTTAAATGAAAATTTAAATTCATTAAAACAAATAACCTGCATTCTTATATGCTGCTTATGTACAGAAATGCAGCAAGTGAAGGTAATTATTTAATATTTGAGAGATTTATTTTTTATTAAAAAACAAATATTATGTAAGGCTGTTTTGAATAATGTTACTTTAAACCTTATCCACTTAAATAGACCAAAAAACAGTAAAGGCAGATGGAGACAGAGCCCTCTCAGCTCTTTATTAAACAGTGTGATATTGAACAAGCTTACACAGATAAACAGGTGCTTTAGAAACTGGGCTGAATTTGAATGTCGCAAGCTGGATTTCTTTGACATTAATTCAAAGAAGTCTGACTCATGAGATGTCCTAAAAGTGTCTTTTCAGTTTTTTTTCCCCCCTTCACAGCACATGTCTGTTTTCCTTCTCTTACAGAGGCTGTTGCTATGCAACACACACCCACATGTGCATCCTTACATTTAAAAACTTTCTCAATGGTCAATGAACAGCAGCAGTAAAAATTCCAATCAAATTCTACATGTAAACAGTGCATGATACTTAGTCATTAGTCAAATGTGTTTTTGATATTACAATATGTTTAAATTAACACAATTTGCTCTGTTGTAGCTTTATGTTGTCTAAGGGGTAATAGTGCTTAAGGCAGGGACTGAGGCTCTAAATAATAAAGCTATTTCTGCAAAACTAATGAGAGTTTTCAAAGAAATGTACTGTATTTGCCATGAAAGGGGGACCCAGTGAAAGTTAGGAGAATTTGTATTTTCATCGCCTTTAGAT